GCTGCTATTATAGCTATGAAGCATAATTTTAATCTAAAGTCATTGCACCATTAGCAAAAAGATATGCTGCAATGCAGCAAAAATTTAACATAAGGTTCTTGTATTGCTATTGCAGCTGCAGGCCTAATTTTCGCTAACATAAGATTCTTGCACTGCTACTGCAGCCGCAGAGCCAAATTCTTACTAAATAAAGTCCTTACTGCTACTGCAGCCACGGAGCCTAATTCTCACTAATATAATAAGGTCTTTGCACTGCTACTGCAATCATAGAGCCTAATTCTTACTAACATAAGGTCTTTGCATGTCTACTGCAGCCGCAGAGCCTATTTTCTATTAAGTCATTGCACAATTAACAAAAAAATACACTGTTAATGTAGCCAAAACTAGTTTCTCAAAGACATAAGAAGCTTGCACTACTACTGCAGCTGTGGAACCTATTTTTCACTGACATAAGGTTTTTGTACTGTTGCTGCAGCTGCGGTACCAATTAATAAATGATACATCGGTTTTCATTATTATATAATCCTTGTACTGTTATTGCAATCACAAAATTTAATCTTTCATATAAAGTTCTTGTATTGTTAATTGCTAATACAGCCTGAACTCTAGTTTTACACTGACAAAAAGTTCCTGTATTGCTACACAATTGGCACTACTACTATAGCTTTATTATAGAGGTCCCAATACTTCTCCGATTTAGCTTTGTAGAAGAGAGACACTACATTTTTTGCTAATTGTTTTGCCCACTCTGACAATTCTTTTATGGACGAATATGGATGGCCAGAAATTTCTACCGTGGGTTCCTCAAAGGTTCTACAAGACCGGACGGGCCGGGCACAAATGTGGTTCTTGGATCTGGCAGGATCAATACCTTTTAATTTAGTCCTAGGAGCAGCGGCCACTATTTGGCTAACAACCATTCCAGGATTACAATTGTAGTCCTTGCTCTGCAACTTTTCACATGGTGGAGAACCTTCTGTATCAAGTGTAGGGGAGTACACATAATTTATTTCATTTTCACACCTCTGGGTAAAGCAATTTATTGCTTCTGAACCCGGGCAAAAATGATAACTGTTGAACCTCTGCACCTTTGTATTTAGATGTGATGCTATTCGATCTATTGAATGTGACCCAAACGTGGTCTCTATCTGTCGAAAAACCTCTTCTCTAACCTGCCAATCTGAGGAGTCAAAGACATAGATCTTTTCTCACTTTATAAGGTTCTTGTATTGCTACTGCCACCTTCGGACCTAATTTCTGTCAACATAAGGTATGATGCTAATTTTTGCTTACCAATACCATTAATCCTTTGAGAAGCCGTTGCACTACTCTTCGCCTTTTTTTTAGAATTTCACACGTTCATAATGCCACCTAACCAATACTTGCACTGTCCTACCATATATTATAATTCATGACATATCATTACACTAATTCAGCATCAAAATTGTAATCATCAAAAGGTCTTCGACGAGTTAATATTTTTATCATAATAATTTCAAAGCTATAAATATCAGCTACTTGAGTGATTTTCTCTCCTTCCAGACTTCAGGTGCTAAATATAG